ACACTAAACTTGGTATATTTGGAAACATAAATAACAAATAGTACAAATGCTTTATTCACTAATGTGGTCACGTGGTCTTATGTTAAGAAACACTAAACTTGGTATATTTGGAAACATAAATAACAAATAGTACAAATGCTTTATTCACTAAGGTGGTCACGTGGTCTTATTTTAAGAAACACTAAACTTGGTATATTTGGAAACATAAATAACAAATATTACAAATGCTTTATTCACTGAGGTGGTCACGTGGTCTTATTTTAAGAAACACTAAACTTGGTATATTTGGAAACATAAATGACAAATAGTACAAATGCTTTATTCACTAAGATCTACTTTGAATAGCAGGCTTTAGTCAAATAAATAAATAAAATGAATGAATGAAACATGAAAATTCATTAAAACGCCGATAATACAAATCCTCATGTACATCGTGAAATATCAGATAATACTGGTATTAAGTTATTAAATTTTCATTACCCGTGCCAAAACAATCCCTACTAAAGTAGTAAATCTAGAGTCTAGAAGTTCTTCACCTGTTATTATGTTATAATAATGGGGTTGTCAATAATAATCACGGGTAGTTAATCACGGATATAAGACATCTATGGAATGAATAAGCGGATCTGGAGTATATAATCACTTTGTCATGAAAGGTAATTATCAACAGTTAAATTTCCCCAGGGAGGGCTTATATCTGCCACCAAATAAGCATAGTCGGTTGGCTATTCGGTTTCTTATGTCTTAGAAGATTAGTCTGAACAATATAAGATACCATAACCATGATCACAGTTGTTTATCTGGATATAGTTTCCAATGGTCTGCAATTGATATTTCTAAATGATAGCTGGGATCCCCAAACATTACGTCATTGCTATTATATTTTAATATATGATTTGCAGCAGCATATGTTTTTAATGTTCATTTGTAATACATTATAGATGAGCCATACGAATGGCGTACTCGACTACTTTGTTGTGGACGTGAGTTCTAATCAGGTGTGTAGTTCGTACCCTGGTTTTAATTATATATTTTTTAACAGAACTAATGTTATTTCAACCACACACAATCAGGAGGTATAAATAGTATAAAAAGAGAAACTATGTATATTTTTCTTGCATCCTCTAGTATTGTTATAATCATTAATTTAGCCATATGTTATGTATTACTCATACACTTGACATTCATGCTATGTGCCATATGTCATTTTAATTTGTCTCTCATACATTATCTACTTTTAATGCCCTTCCATTAACCAAAACTCAATAGTTATATAGGAATAACAAAGTACATTTGCACGCACACATGGGTCAAAGAGCACAGTAGTACAGAAATGTACTACACGAGTGGAAAAGCCAGCCGTGAAGCGTTTTCAACAAGTAATGTAAATGATATATGAAACTTAAGATTAAGACAAAAAAAGTAATATCAGGAATATACAGATAAAGATATCCTGCCATACTGGTAGCACCCACCATATCACGATCTTAGTAGTCAATTCATGAAAGAGCTTCTTCATATTGTAAAAACAATTAGAGATCATCTGCTTAAGTGATTTGTCTTGTTCCATCGTCAGATCATGATGTCTGTCATAGAAACGCTTGAATGTTGGATGTTAGAATAAGATCAAAGTCATAACTTTTGTCAGTCAAATTCAAAGGGGACATACGGTGAGAGGCAGAAGAACTTGATTATGTGGCTCTAATTTCTGGAAGATATATTATAGAAATATAATTATTGATGAAAGGATTAATGAAAGTACATTGTTAATATACCTGGAAAGATATTTTGTTTTAGTTTTTCAAACATTGTTTAAATACTGCAAAATCTACATGTTCTTAATACCACTATGTATCATACCAGTTTTTTGTTGAGCACTAACATGAACCTGCTATAAATCGAACTTTATGGTGTATAGTATAATATACGCCGGGAAGTCACTGGTATATTTTGGAGGGGTAATTTATAACGAATGACTTGTGGTTAATCGGGATTTCATCTTTGCTGAAAGTGGCCAGAATCAGTAGATGCATCAGATAAACACAATAAAACTAGCAGCTTTATCAGAAGGGACATTAACATGTTGTCTATGTTGGAAGCACGATTGTAGCTTTTGAATGCGGCAGCATGACACCGCTCTAATAGATTTGACCGAATTGGACTGTGCGCAAGGTTAAACCTTCTCCCGTTTAGCCCATTTATGATTTTAAAATTATACCGCCAATTGTTTTTTTTTGAGACTCTATAAATGTTGGCCACAATGCAAATATCTTTCATAGATAAGCATGCTACACAATAAAGATCACCTGAAATAATATGGCTAATAGGGAAACAGTTGAATGGAAAAGACGAACAGTCATAATGTATATCACCACAATGTCTTTTTCATAGTTAAATATCTGACAGGCTGTTGCATTGATGTCAATGCGCGACAGAAGAAATAAGTGGTGGAAATAAGTTATATTTGTATGCATGCTATGGGAACATGCTGCTATGGGAACTATTGTTATTTGAATTAGCAGATTGGATGAATATTTTGGGGGTTGGGAAATGTGCATTACCCTACGTTTAGTTGTCTAATCTATATGTTTGAGAAAAATCATGTTACTGTATGAATATGGCATGAGGATGACAACCCGAAAGATAAAATATGCATAAGGTGTCTGCCAGATGGATTCCCAGGTTGCTCACACCTTTCAATAAGCAAGAACGCGTTGAGTGCTCGAGGATAAATTTGGACGTGTGCCAAGAAGATGAGTCAATGTTTTTCAAAAGTCTGATTACACAGGATGAAACTTGGGTCCATCAATATGATCCAGATAATAAAGTCCAGTCAATGCAGTGGAAGCACTTGGACTCACCACCTCCAAAAAAGGCAAGGATGCAGCCCTCCACTGGCAAGGTCATGCTCACAGTCTTCTGGGACCAGAACGGAGTAGTGATGATTTCCTGGCAAAGGGTAACACAATTACAGGAGCCTATTACGCTTCACTTTTGATAAAATTAAGAGAAGCTATCAAAATCAAGTGGCCGGGCAAGATCAGCAAAGGTATCCTCCTCCTGCAGGACAAAGCGAAGAAATCAACCCTGGTCTAGAAAATCTCCAGACTTCTGATGCCATTGCCTGTCCTTGTTGTGTCTGAGTGATTTACCATATATTCATGTCTATTCATTCATTCATTCATTCAAAACACTAAAAATTACTACCCATTCTAATTTGTACTGTGCAAATGAAACCGGACGACACAGGACACGTTTCCTTTAGGTCGAATTAATCGCGACCCCATGCCTTCTTTCTTCGATCACGCTAGCGTCATACCGTGACTTGTGATCAAATATCCTATTAATACTTGATAGACATCTACTCTTAGATAGTATAAGCAACAATTTAATGTCGCATAAAAAGCATAGAAGGTGTAATAGAATAAACAGTTAATAGATAGAATGGATACATCTTCCATCCTATGATCGCGATTTACATAAATTGTAACAATATTTTGACGTTGCCTGCTACACATACGGAACAATAATAACACAGACTTGACACAAATAAACCACATCACGCTATGTATTCCATTTTACTGTATTGCTATATTGTATCCTGATTCGTTCTACTTCCGAACCAACCCCTTAGTTGTACACATTCTTTCCACGATAGAATGTTTCAATATTAATCTGTTTTAGCAATTAATGAATTTCTAAAACGTCGCGATACTCTGTTAGTGACTTCCCCTGTTAGACAAGCGTTGCTATGGCAATAAAGTATAATATTCATGAAATGCTTTTGAATAATACACCGACTAAAAGCTTTCTATACTAAATCTTATGACTCGTTACGCTTAATAATATATAATTTACCAATGTCAAAATGTCTCCATTAGAATAAATTATTGTGAATACATCATAACTATGTTGAACGAATGTGAACAGCAAGTTCTTCAGACAAAAAAATGAAACTAAATCCAGACATTTCAAACCTGATACATATTCTTAAAACCAATACTCACCAATGCAATACCTCCAAAGTGTCACTATTTGTCAGTGAAATACAGAAATGTTTGATTTTAAGGATGATTTTAGGTTACTTTAGTATCTTGGCCTTTGCGCTTTTTCCATCTTTGTTCGATTTCAGCACATTTTGATATAATAGTGTTTTGTACGATTACACTCAATTGTTCGTTGTTAAACTAATGTAGCTATAGAATATGGCCCACATATGCTGTAAGTGAGAGTGATTGGCTTATGTTAAATATTGTTTGACGCACCACAGGGATCGAGATGAAAAGGACCGGGCGTTGGTAATTAGGAAGAATTTGAAACAAATACAAAAGTGGTGCAACAAATTAAACTACTCTCACTTACTACGCCAGTGTACCATTCACATAGTTATGCAAGTCGTGTTATTTGTATATTTTAATTTAAATTTGTTTACCAAGAACTGATTCAGTTATCTTCTTCAAAGACAAGCACACACACTAACAGACCAACATAACCTCCCTAATGATGGTAAACAAGAATATATTGGAACAACGTCTACTGATATCCTGCTCGACTATTTCCGATTGTCAGGCCAGTGCCATGCAATTAAACAACACAATCCGTGAATTCAGATGCACGACATTCATTTTTTGTATATTTAATATATTATCATTTTTTCAGTGATCTAAGGTTGGTGTTATTTCCACTTTTCAAATCATTATATCAACTGATTGCAGTATGTTTATAACATAACATTAATGTAACTACTTTCGCCTGAATCGTAATAGTGTTCAAAAATGTTTACAGTGTTATCTGAACAAACCGAATCACCAATGGAATTAGGTGTACATGTTTATATTTAAGTGTTTAGGAATACGTGATATTATTATACCTCATATGTATATTATTTCTCTAGAAGTTAACAAATTACGTCATATAGGCTTGAGAATCCGTCAACAAATGGTCTGCTTTTCTATTGAAGGTCTTTGGTGGATAACCTGACGTTTATCGAATAATTGTACCTTTTTCTGTTTTTTCAAGATATTGTGCGCCATTGCGGCATAGTTATGTCCTATATAAATATTTGTCTGCAAGCGATAATTACCGAATAACACGAATATACGTGTAAGTCAGTCCCTAGTCGGATGTAAATAAATGTTAATTACCAGACGGTCGCCCGTAGCTTGTTTAATAAATGTATTTTAAAAGGGATTATGGAATATAACAATACAAACCCACTAATTTAAAATGTTTGCAGAGAAAATGCCTGTAAATAAGGAAACTGCGGTAAGTGAGATCTTGCTGTGCAGCTTTTACGGTTATATCAATATTTGGTATAATATTGCTAATATTGGCTTTTGTCACAGTCGATAAACAGATTTGTTAACACTCATATTATCGCTAATCTTGGTTTTGCATCGTTCAACAATGCTCAAGTCGATATTTGTTCGGAGTCAGTAACTGTAACATAACATAAAATACATGAAAAGCCAATGATATTGTTTAGATCAATCGTCCATGAGAATCGTTCGTTCACGAGAATATCAATATACAACAAATGGTACAAATGGGTGTATACAATATACACATTTTACATGCTTCTTTCTGTGCGTCATTTTCAGTACCAAATGCAATAAAACACAATTATTATAATTGACGCTAAAATGAAATGATATCTAATGTGTCTGTACGTCCCTGGTCTATAGTGTACTATACAACATTAAACTTGTTATTTTATCACGTATGTCTTTATTGGTACTTCTCGATGCTGCAATAATGGAGAAAATGTATTAACTAATAATTAATATATACTGATATATGTGACCAAAATCTATATTTATATTCAAGACAAGTCAACGTCATCTAGTTCTTCTGTGCAAATGCCATTTGCTATTAGTTATCCGAAAAACATACAATATAAGGTTGCCCAGGACTTCCATGATAAAGCTATCTCAAATTAAAAAAAAATATGTCTAATCAAGCAAGCTTTCAAGACTAATTAAATCAAATATACGTTTCATTAACTGTATTATAAAGACATCCTATCATAATTAATTATTCAAGCAATCTTTATCTTATACCAGAGACTATATTCTGAATATTAATGTATAAATGAATAAGATATAATACGACTGATAAATAGAGGGTGACAATTACAAAGTTCTATTGTTTCAGTTACAACTTATACATCACAAGAGGATTGAATATTCAGTCCTGTTAACGGCGTTACATTAAACCTAATTTGCGTCTTTGTTAGGAAACCAACCCGAAAATATAAAATCGTTAACCTCTCTCATTTGTCATATTTAATATTTCTTGAGATATAATGGTAGTCTCTAGATGAGGATATCTATACATACTGGAATATTATAAATATGGCGGACCAATCAAAAGTGATCATGATAGACTACTGTATTGGGACATCAATGTAATCAACCTTGACATATATTCTTTAGCAATTTCATTGAATTGTGCATTAGTCAATTCCTCCAATTACGCTGAGGGCAAAGTCGTTTGATTATTCGCTTGATCCCTGCTTAAATGAATGGTTAATTTAATTTGTTATTTTAATCCGATATAACAATCAACTAAACTAGTCAGCTTTCTTATTTTTCTGAGGAGATATGTTCCCTATTTTGTTCCACACATCGGGATAAAATAAATTGTACCATTATACAGATTAACATTTTGTCAGGATTTCCCACTGCATCACGTCTTTACATAGGCGTATACATAAATGCGGTGACAACCACGACAATTGTTTTAGAAGTCATTGTATTTTTTTACAATAATTAAGGTAACTGTTGAAAATGTACAAAAGTAGCAGAATGTGTAAATTTCGGGATATAATTCAAGTTTATTTAATAACAATTTAAACTATGCCACGATATACAATGCTATACATATATACAACCATTACGTAGTATTAAAACTGTATACAGCAAAATATATGAATATACATTTGGATGATAAGTACATAAGATATAAGATACAATTACGAGTTGTCGAAAAACTTAGACATATAATGTAATTAGTATAAATAAAATAAAATAAAAGTGTATTCATAGTTTGCGTATTACCAACATGAGTTTTATTCATTACTGGTCGTAAATAATTTGGTGGTTTCACTAATACTAATTTCAGATGTCAGCATGTGGTGATGTCGATCTGATGACATAAAATGAGATGGGGATTCCATGCAACAGATACATGAAACGATTTTCCTAAAAAAAAGAAATAAAAAGAATGACCCGTGAGAGTTATTACTGGTGACAAAATGTAAAGGAAACATCATCAATCGGAAAATCGTCAACAATGACATATGCCTATCCTAAAAACCGCCAATTCTCCCACACCCAACAGACGTTGGACCGTAGTGTCCATTAAGATAAAGGGGACCTTTTTACGAGGATGAGCTGCAGTGGGTAATAGCTGAAAGCACAGTAAGAACTAACTTTTAGAGCGAAGTTCAAGTGTAAAAAGCTATAGTGGACTGCTTCAACTCCTGGATTGATTATTTAAACCACCCACAGTGATGAGTGGGCACGTGATATAAATCAAAGAACCAATAATTGTGCTTGCTCATTAGCACCAACAATCCCAATAATTTTGGTAATACTGTTCAGTTGCAAACAAGGACAATCACACATTTGATTTATTTAAAAATAAAAACACTTGTCTGCAATTTTCAAACAATGATATTCAGTGGCCCAAATAGCACCATTTGTGAGTAACTATTGACAAAACTCTGAATGCCAAATCTTGTCTGAAGATTGTCAAATCTTTGTGAAGCCAACCATCTATTGATTGCAAATTCGGACATGAACGTTGCACCTTTAAAAGTGTAAACAAATTATTGGTAGATTTTGAGCTGGTTTACAATTTTATACTTCATTACTGTGAGTGGAATATTGTAAACCTCATCATACCGAAGGTTATGTTTTATAATTTGCTCCTCTATTCTTTTGCCAGATTAAAGTCCTTTCTATCCTTAAAAAGTAGTGGCATATTTAAGTGTTCAACGGTATTTTTCCTTTAAGATATTAAGTCATTAGTTATGTCGAAAACCATGGTTATGCCAATAATATCATTTAACTCATTTGTTCACTCAGTCTTACTTCATGTATACATAAGGCCTTACATAATTCAAAACGTGTTCCATTAAATATGTGTTCCTTACATTAGTTCTTAGTTACATTAATTTTTCATTGACAAAACCTTTGTCGAGTTTGGGGGATATCAACATTATCAGCTTTCTAATGAAAACGAATTGAGATTTCTCGCTGGTTGATTTTTTATGAAGCTAAATTTCTACATAAATTAAACAAAGAAGTTAACTATATTAACTTGATATTGAAATATATTGATATTGTATCATCATATATTTTGCCAATTGTTGTTGGTTGTCTTGTCGAGTGTTATCCGTCGTTTGAGTTTTGTCTTGTGGGCAAGTAGTTTACGATATGTTTTTTGCAGGATTAATAGCAACGTGGTTTGTTGGTGTAAAAACTGTGTGTTTTTTTTGGTTGGTAAAGCAAGATAGTATGAAGTATATATGCCATATAGAGGTATGCCAAGCATACGCTATGTGATACAAGCCTGGGTACAATCTCCTTTTGTAATGCGATGTGTGTTTGTGATATATGTTGTATCCAGACTAGTGTTAATAAAGGTCACATGTTTCAAACTGTCTTTGTACTAATCAACACACCTGCGTCTTAATGTTAGAATGGAAACAGCCATCCATATGGATGGTTTGGTACAATCATATTGCGTGTTCATACGAGTTGTTTGAGGCAACATCACTACCTTCTATCTTTCAAATCTCCATGACCATGTTCGCAGCGATTTCCGCCTGTCCCACGACCAGATTTTTGATAATGGGTGCAATGACGCAGTGATAGAAGATGGTTGCTGTTAATATCTAGCTGTCTTCGGGTTGCCATATTGAGAACGCTCCATGTCCTTGTGCATAGTATCCGAGTTTCCTTACAGTTGATGGTTGCCTTGACAGCAAAATTACTTCGCCAGTGAGGTTCAAATAATATTGATTTAATTTATTCGTGAGATCTGAAGCTGGCACGCGCTTGTTGACTGAATGTCTTCTTCCCTTAAAAACAATTCTTAAACAATTAGTCAAAGGAGAAGTGGTCTCCTCTCAAATGTCCTGTCTATAAGCCCCCTCCTCTGCTGGACTGGTAACAGGTAGTCTGGAATTAATCATGCCTCAACCTAGGTGAAAAGACAATATGTGTAAATGAGGCACATTTCTATTTTTAGAGATAGAACACATGGTTATATAAGTACAATTAAGAGATTTCGGAAATTTGATAGGATATGGTTTCCATGCCGAGCTACATTTGATTGGTCCTTTTAAAACTTGCTCACTGATAATTCTGCTGAATTAAATCACTGAAGGCACATCTAACCATGGATTGCTTCTGTTTAAATCTATCTTTGTTCAAGACCCATAGCTGCCGACGCACCTGACAGTTTCTAAGGTGCATTGAGTCTGATTAATCCACTTTAGAAAAAATGGTAAAAATATATCCACTCACTAACTTTTTCTGCAATACAAAGGAGGTGGTTTCCGATTTAAAATAATTAAATTTCTTAGGGACAAGCTTGTCTTTCTTTTGACACAGATGGCTAACTCAGTACAAGTCATGAGGGAACATAATGTTTACAGAATTCAATCTTGACTTGAGTGTACATAGAATGTACATGTTAAATATGAATAGGAATGCATGATTTAGACAATGTACTGTAACCATTGCATACGCATAGATTGCAATACGGATTTGTAGACCTTGTGGTGTCATTTAACAGAGTAGTCGATATTTGGAGATGAATTCACAAAGTGCACAGCTAAATTACATTGGGAAAACGCGCTTCCCTTTCCCTTAGCTTACGTGACTGTGTCATTAACAAATGTCAATTCTTTTGAATTGTGGGCACAGAGGTTTTTCAACATAAATTGGTATATTATGTCATGGGATACTTAAAATGTATTGCTTATTTTTTATGCATTGAACAGTCAAAGCAATAATTCCAC